CCCTCCTATCTCTCTCTCTCTCTCTCCCTCTCCCACCTCTTTCTCTACCTATCTGATCAACCAGGCTGTTAGACGTCCTCAATGAGGGTAGAAATAGCCTAAGCTACTCAATCCTTTTGAGATGTATTTCATTGTCTCATTAAACGTCTCTCTCTCTACTAGGGCCCAAGCGGTTAAGCATGAAGACGCACTTGTAACGTTTTGTACTACAACGTAAGAAACGCGACTGTTTAGTCGAGAGGACGGGTTGGTTGTCCAGGATTAAGTAGGCACTGTGAAATCCAAGTGTATATTATTGTCTTTCAATCATGTTGATAATGTGTTAATGCTATCGTGTAGTGTTTGTTGCCTATGCTTTAGTACCTCCTTTATGGTGTTGTGCTATCTTTACTGTTGTAATTGTATCGGGGGATGAATTCAACATCGAGGCTCTGTTTCAAAATGATGTTTCCATTCCTCCCCCTCCAATCAATCCGCTACAACCCTTCCTATCCACCAGCAATCCACTACAACCCTTTCCTATCCACCAGCAATCCACTACAACCCTTTCCTATCCACCAGCAATCCACTACAACCCTTTCCTATCCACCAGCAATCTACTACAACCCTTCCCATCCCCCAGCAATCTACTACAACCCTTCCCATCCCCCAGCAATCCACTACAACCCTTTCCCATCCACCAGCAATCCACTACAACCCTTCCTATCCACCAGCAATCCACTACAACCCTTTCCCATCCACCAGCAATCCACTACAACCCTTCCCATCCCCCAGCAATCCACTACGACCCTTCCCATCCCCCAGCAATCCACTACGACCCTTCCCATCCCCCAGCAATCCACTACGACCCTTCCCATCCACCAGCAATCCACTACAACCCTCCCACCAACACCGTACACAGTGCAGCCTAATAAAACAGAACAATTCTTCAATAACCTTCCAAACTCACACAGCAACACAACCCTAGTTCTACAACACATTACCAGCCACTGTTGTTGTTATTGTGAGTATAACGCGAACCAAACACGTGTGTGTTAACGAATGCATGATTAACGTGTTCTTAATTCGCATAATTACATGTTTTTGTTTTCGACGCCACCCTCCCCCCCACCCCCCACCCCTCTATCACCCCTCCCCCCTCCTGGAATGAGCGTTCCCAGGTCAAGAGGGGCGTAACTCACCACCTCGACGGAGCGCGAACTTGTTTCTTGCGTCCTGGCGAAGTCAAAGTCGATTTTGCCGTGGTCCTCGACGACGGGTCTTCGACGACGGGTCTCGACCCGCGATGCGCTACTTCTAGGAGACAAACACGCAAAGGCGGGAACGAAGGTAATTTCCTCCCCCGGGTGCGTTGATAAGCGACGTCTGCGTTGTTACTGACGCATTGTGCGTCAGGTACGACGTTTCCTTCGTCAGTTCGGTATAGGGGAGGAAGGCGGTCAGTTCGGGTGCTCTTTATCCACCACTGCCCACGGGATGGGTATAGGGGTCCATCACCATCTACGGGGTGGATATGGGGTCCACCACTGCCCACGGGATGGATATGGGGGTCCACCACTGCCCACGGGATGGATATGGGGCTCCATCACCGTCCACGAGATGGGTATGGGGTCCACCACCGTCCACGGGATGGATATGGGGGTCCACCACCGTCCACGAGATGGGTATGGGGTCCACCACCGTCCACGGGATGGATATGGGGGTCCACCACCGTCCACGGGATGGGTATGGGGTCCACCACTGCCCACGGGATGGATATGGGGCTCCACCACCGTCCACGAGATGGGTATGGGGTCCACCACCGTCCACGGGATGGATATGGGGGTCCACCACTGCCCACGGGATGGATATGGGGCTCCACCACCGTCCACGAGATGGGTATGGGGGTCCACCACCGTCCACGGAATGGATATGGGGGTCCACCACCGTCCACGGGATGGGTATGGGGGTCCACCACCGTCCACGGGATGGATATGGGGGTCCACCACCGTCTACGAGATGGGTATGGGGGTCCACCACCGTTTGCACATACGGTGCAGATGTGTCACACACACACACACATGTGCCTGGTCGTTCAGGTGTGATGCCCGCGTGCTGGTCTTCTTGTGCTATAAGTGCTGTCAGTCCAGTGACGTCTCCCGGCATGCGTCTGGTGGGCCCCTGGCCAGCTGGTGCGTCAGTGACGTGTCCCGGCATGCGTCAGGTGGGCCCCTGGCCAGCTGGTGCGTCAGTGACGTCTCTGTCCTTGTGAGCGTCAGGTTAGGTTCCCGCGTCACCCCCCCCCCTACCCCCCACTGCCACCGGGAAACACTTTGACCAACACAAAAGTTATTTTTAATAAGAAGAGCGGCAGGAGTTGCCAGCGGCGGTGGAGACACCACACACACATCAAGGGGCGAGGATGTTGGTACAGGGCCCCTCTCTCTCTCTCTCTCTCTCTCTCTCTCTCTCTGTCTCTCTCTCTCTGTCTCTCTCTCTCTCTCTCTCTCTCTCTCTCTCTCTCTCTCTCTCTCTCTCTCTCTCTCTCTCTCTCTCTCTCTCTCTCTCTCTCTCTCTCTCTCTCTCTCTCTCTCTCTCTCTCTCTCTCTCTCTCTCAGGTTCTGTACCAACCCTGTGATGGGCCTCTGGAAGGGGGTAGTATAAGCTCTAGAACTACTTTGCGCCACAAACACTAACAACCACTACACACACCAACCACCACCACCACCACAAACACTAATCACCACAAACAGGAGTAGGAGTGAGGGTTTGGACAGTAGGAGATGGGTTGGACAGAAGCGGATAGATTGGACAGCAGGACATGGGATGGACAGGGTTGGGGGACAAGGTAGGAGAGCGCACAATTAATTAACGAATCGAGCAGGTGAAGTGTAATTCTTGGCAAACAAAATCCCCCCTCGAGGTGGAGCCAACCAATAAGAACAGCGCACAACGAGGTGCTTAACGGCACAACGAGGCAATTCAGGCGAAATGAAGCCCAAGGAAGCACTTTAGTAGAAACAAAGATGAAGTGGTATTTATTCGCTGCTACGAGTGGAGGTGATTGTGTTCGTACGAGTGGAGGTGACTGTGTGTTCGTACGAGTGGAGGTGACTGTGTGTTCGTACGAGTGGAGGTGCTTGTGTGTTCGTACGAGTGGAGGTGACTGTGTGTTCGTACGAGTGGAGGTGCTTGTGTGTTCGTACGAGTGGAGGTGACTGTGTGTTCGTACGAGTGGAGGTGACTGTGTGTTCGTACGAGTGGAGGTGCTTGTACTCACCTAGTCACCTAGTACTCACCTAGTTGTGTTTGCGGGGGTTGAGCTCTGGCTCTTTGGTCGTACGAGTGGAGGTGACTGTGTGTTCGTACGAGTGGAGGTGACTGTGTGTTCGTGCGAGTGGGGTTGATTGTGTGTTCGTACGAGTGGGGGTGATGGTGTGTTCGTAATAAATAATCAACTACAGGTCAGAGAACTACTGAGATTCTGTAACAAACTATCGCTCATCCGACAGATTACAGAACCAACTAGGAACGAAAACACACTTGACATGATCTTCACAAACAATGAAGAAATAATCAGACACATTACAATCTCAGGTACTACATACTCAGACCACAAGCTCATTGAAGTTCAAAGTAGCATTAAATACCTGTAGTGAGTCCAAGAGGATCAATAAGCGAGAAGGTCTTTTTCAATCAATTCAATTTCAACAATAAGAGGATCGACTTGGAAAAATAAATATAGACTTTGCAAACATCCAATGGGAGACGGTCTTAATCGACAAAACTCCCACACACAATGAATAGCCCAACTGACAGCTGAAGCACACAAGGTCTGCTGGAAGCACACAAGGTCTGCTGGAAGCACACAAGGTCTGCTGGAAGCACACAAGGTCTGCTGGAAGCACACAAGGTCTGCTGGAAGCACACAAGGTCTGCTGGAAGCACACAAGGTCTGCTGGAAGCACACAAGGTCTGCTGGAAGCACACAAGGTCTGCTGGAAGCACACAAGGTCTGCTGGAAGCACGTGCCTGTGAGGAGGGGCAGAAAGAGGAACACGGATCTCTAGACAGAGAACGCAGACAACTGCGCAGAAGGAGAAAATCGCGAGAATGCTTAAACAGACACGACTTTCGCGACAAAGAAAAAGAAATCTAGACAGGGAGCTCGAAGAAACTGAGCAGACGCTGAAGCGATCATAACAGTCTGAGGAAATGGAATTGGAACAGAAAGCTATACAAGAGATAGAGAAAATCAAAAATATTTTTTTTTTCACATTTGTTAAATCAAAGTCGAAAACCTCTAACAGTATTGTACCTTTCCCTACAACTGAAAGTTTGTACACAATTTAAACGGTTGTCTGTTTAGCACCCCAATAAACAACATGGATTTATAGCGGGAAGATCCTGTCTTTCACAATTGCCCAATCACTAAGACAAAATCACAGAAACATTAGAAAAGAAAAACAAAATGCAGATGTTATTTACACAGACTTTGCAAAGGCATTCGATAAGTGTGACCTTGGAGAGGAAGACCAAAAAATCACATCAACAGGAATAAAGGGTAAAATGGGACATTGGATTTCAAGCACAAATAGGTGAGTACAAATAGGTGAGTACACACCCACACCCACACCCACACACACACCCACACACACACCCACACCCACACACACAAACACACACACCCACACACACACACCCACACACACACCCACACACACACCCACACACACACACACACACACAAACACAAACACACACACACACACCCACACCCACACCCACACACACACACCCACACCCACACACCCACACCCACACCCACACACACAAACACACACACACACACACACAAACACACACACACCCACACACACACACACAAACACACACACAAACACTCCCACGAAACACATTCCATTCCTAACTAAAATATCTGCAGCGAGCACAGCGCTTAAGACGGCACTTGTGAGGTGAGAAAATATACAGTAACGACTCTCCGGCTGGTTACCGCCCAGGACTCTCCTGCCGGGGCTGTCAGCACCACCAGGAGACCCAGGACTCTCCTGCCGGGGCTGTCAGCACCACCAGGAGACCCAGGACTCTCCTGCCGGGGCTGTCAGCACCACCAGGAGACCCAGGACTCTCCTGCCGGGGCTGTCAGCACCACCAGGAGACCCAGGACTCTCCTGCCGGGGCTGTCAGCACCACCAGGAGACCCAGGACTCTCCTGCCGGGGCTGTCAGCACCACCAGGAGACCCAGGACTCTCCTGCCGGGGCTGTCAGCACCACCAGGAGACCCAGGACTCTCCTGCCGGGGCTGTCAGCACCACCAGGAGACCCAGGACTCTCCTGCCGGGGCTGTCAGCACCACCAGGAGACCCAGGACTCTCCTGCCGAGGCTGTCAGCACCACCAGGAGACTCAGGACTCTCCTGCCGAGGCTGTCAGCACCACCAGGAGACTCAGGACTCTCCTGCCGAGGCTGTCAGCACCACCAGGAGACTCAGGACTCTCCTGCCGAGGCTGTCAGCACCACCAGGAGACTCAGGACTCTCCTGCCGGGGCTGTCAGCACCACCAGGAGACCCAGGACTCTCCTGCCGGGGCTGTCAGCACCACCAGGAGACCCAGGACTCTCCTGCCGGGGCTGTCAGCACCACCAGGAGACCCAGGACTCTCTTGCCGGGGCTGTCAGCACCACCAGGAGACCCAGGACTCTCCTGCCGGGGCTGTCAGCACCACCAGGAGACCCAGGACTCTCCTGCCGGGGCTGTCAGCACCACCAGGAGACCCAGGACTCTCCTGCCGGGGCTGTCAGCACCACCAGGAGACCCAGGACTCTCCTGCCGGGGCTGTCAGCACCACCAGGAGACCCAGGACTCTCCTGCCGGGGCTGTCAGCACCACCAGGAGACCCAGGACTCTCCTGCCGGGGCGGTCAGCACCACCAGGAGACCCAGGACTCTCCTGCCGGGGCTGTCAGCACCACCAGGAGACCCAGGACTCTCCTGCCGGGGCTGTCAGCACCACCAGGAGACCCAGGACTCTCCTGCCGGGGCTGTCAGCACCACCAGGAGACTCAGGACTCTCCTGCCGAGGCTGTCAGCACCACCAGGAGACTCAGGACTCTCCTGCCGAGGCTGTCAGCACCACCAGGAGACTCAGGACTCTCCTGCCGAGGCTGTCAGCACACCAGGAGACTCAGGACTCTCCTGCCGGGGCTGTCAGCACCACCAGGAGACCCAGGACTCTCCTGCCGGGGCTGTCAGCACCACCAGGAGACTCAGGACTCTCCTGCCGGGGCTGTCAGCACCACCAGGAGACCCAGGACTCTCTTGCCAGGGCTGTCAGCACCACCAGGAGACCCAGGACTCTCCTGCCGGGGCTGTCAGCACCACCAGGAGACCCAGGACTCTCCTGCCGGGGCTGTCAGCACCACCAGGAGACCCAGGACTCTCCTGCCGGGGCTGTCAGCACCACCAGGAGACCCAGGACTCTCCTGCCGGGGCTGTCAGCACCACCAGGAGACCCAGGACTCTCCTGCCGGGGCTGTCAGCACCACCAGGAGACCCAGGACTCTCCTGCCGGGGCTGTCAGCACCACCAGGAGACCCAGGACTCTCCTGCCGGGGCTGTCAGCACCACCAGGAGACCCAGGACTCTCCTGCCGGGGCTGTCAGCACCACCAGGAGACCCAGGACTCTCCTGCCGGGGCTGTCAGCACCACCAGGAGACCTAGGACTCTCCTGCTGGGGCTGTCAGCACCACCAGGAGACCCAGGACTCTCCTGCCGGGGCTGTCAGCACCACCAGGAGACCCAGGACTCTCCTGCCGGGGCTGTCAGCACCAAAGGAGACCCAGGACTCTCCTGCCGAGGCTGTCAGCACTCCCAGGAGACTCCGGACTCTCCGGTGAAAGCTGTACCGGGGAAGTGAGCTCAATCCTGCAGCTTTATTTTACCGCTCTGTGTCGAAGCCTACCAACACTCCTTGTTCTGTACCCGCTGCCTGGGATGTGAGGGTGTAGTGAGGGTGTAGTGTGAGGGGTGTAGTGTGAGGGTGTAGTGTGAGGGTGTAGTGTGAGGGTGTAGTGTGAGGGTGTAGTGTGAGGGTGTAGTGTGAGGGTGTAGTGTGAGGGTGTAGTGTGAGGGGTGTAGTGTGAGGGTGTAGTGTGAGGGTGTAGTGTGAGGGGTGTAGTGTGAGGGGTGTAGTGTGAGGGTGTAGTGTGAGGGTGTAGTGTGAGGGTGCAGTGTGTCGTCGTCGTCTAGGGGTGACCATGCCACACCGCCCCTGGTGACCGGACAAGGCAGCATCATCAAGGCGACGGGTCCTACTCTTCAGCCAGGGTTCAGACGCGCCGTCTAGACTTACCACTCTTAGTGAAATTGCTCCAGTCTTTACAGTGAGAGAGTTGTGATGTTAATGCTTACTGTATATCTTTGGTTTACATTAGTATTGTGTTGTGTGTGTGTGTTCGAGTCATTGAACAGTGTTGAACTTTATGTGTTCTTTTAATGTTGTTATATCAAAGTGTATTCAGTTTATACAGTGTCTCCCGGGTATTGTTAGAGTGGCTTCACTTTATTGATTGCAATATTAACCTCTCCGGATAACAGGTACAGTAAACTAATTATTTATCTATATCTGTAAATGGAAATGTCTGTCTGTGTGTCTCTATCTGTCCGGGGTTGAAGGCCAGATGCTTGGCTAGCCTCACCAAATTTTTCACGGTAATTGCTGATGGGTGTGTAACCAACATGGGCAGGTTTGTAAATATTCCCCGAATATGGGAAATCATAAGTTGAATCGTGCAACTTAACCCCAGAGCCTCCGCCCCCTCCACACCCGGCAACCTTTTGCTGCACACACATGCACACAGGTGTAGGAGGGAGGGGGCCCTGCCAGGTGTGGGCATAGTGCCTCACCTGGGCCCCTCCGTCACGGGCACCCCGGGAAGGGGATTGACGGAGGAGTGGGAGGGGAGAAGGGGAAGAGGAGAGGGGAGATGGGGGAGAAGGAACAATGAAGATTAAGCACCAATGAGAATATAAGAAGACGAAGAAGCTTTCCAGGGTTTACGGGCTATTCATGCCCGTGCCACCTCTTGGGTGGCTTAATCTTTATCAATCAGTTTCCAGGGAACATAATCTTGCCACCATGAGAGGACGAGGAGGACGAGGAGGAGAAAGCAAAGGACGAAGAAGTGATGTGGACGAAAAATATAATTCGAGGGCACAGAAGACAGAAGCGAAAACGAAAACAAAAGAGTGCCAGCCGACTAAGAAGAGTAGTTCGGGTGTTGGCCGGTGGGTGCATGATGGCGCTGCCTCTCACACCAAGACGTGTTCCAGTCACGACGCTAAACACAGAGAGCAGGGCGACGCGCCTGCACACTCCATCCTAAACTATCCAAGACCTAAGTTAGTAGCCACAAGCCTGCAAGACGTGTGCTTAACTAGCACTAAGCCCTCGTTAACAGCCATAATACCCTGATGGTTAGTTCAGGAAGGAAGGGGGGGGGGGGTATCATTTCCCTCAAATATCTAGTACATTGTTATCATGTCTCCCTTGTCGTATTTCCTGCGGTGTGGTGAAGCCAAATTCTCTCACCCGGCTGTGATAAAGTCCCTCAGCTCTTGGTCAAGATATTTAGCATACGTCTCGAATTTCTCTAGTTTCAGATTGATTTTTTGTTTTTAGGCGACTCCAGAACGGAGCTGCATACTCAAGGGTCGGCCTTATGTAGGTGGTATGTAGGACTGTTAAGGCTTCCCGAGTCGAGGCTCCTGAAGACTACTCGAACATTTGTTCCTATATGAGTGGGTGTTCCTATATGAGTGAGTGTTCCTATATGAGTGAGTGTTCCTATATGAGTGGGTGTTCCTATATGAGTGAGTGTTCCTATATGAGTGAGTGTTCCTATATGAGTGAGTGTTCCTATATGAGTGGGTGTTCCTATATGAGTGAGTGTTCCTATATGAGTGGGTGTTCCTATATGAGTGAGTGTTCCTATATGAGTGAGTGTTCCTATATGAGTGGGTGTTCCTATATGAGTGAGTGTTCCTATATGAATGAGTGTTCCTATATGAGTGAGTGTTCCTATATGAGTGGGTGTTCCTATATGAATGAGTGTTCCTATATGAGTGGGTGTTCCTATATGAGTGAGTGTTCCTATATGAGTGGGTGTTCCTATATGAGTGGGTGTTCCTATATGAGTGAGTGTTCCTATATGAGTGAGTGTTCCTATATGAGTGAGTGTTCCTATATGAGTGGGTGTTCCTATATGAATGAGTGTTCCTATATGAGTGGGTGTTCCTATATGAGTGAGTGTTCCTATATGAGTGGGTGTTCCTATATGAGTGGGTGTTCCTATATGAGTGAGTGTTCCTATATGAGTGGGTGTTCCTATATAAGTTATATGAGTGAGTTTGGTTGGATGTCGAGAGCCGCTGCCTTGAACAGACAATGAACCTTATATAGCTGTCTGTGAGGGACTTGAGAAAGGGGCTTCTAAGAGGGACTTGAGAAAGGGGCTTCTAAGAGGGACTTGAGAAAGGGGCTTCTAAGAGGATCTGAGAAAGAGGCTTCTAAGAGCTGAGAAAGGGGCTTCTAAGAGGAGCTGAGAAAGGGGCTTCTAGAAGAGGCTGAGAAACGGACTTCTAAGAGGAGCTGAGAAAGGGGCTTCTAAGAGTTGAGAAAGGGGCTTCTAAGAGGAGCTGAGAAAGGGGCTTCTAAGAGCTGAGAAAGGAGCTTCTAAGAGAGGCTGAGAAATGAGTGGTCAAGGCAGGGCTGAGAAAGAGAGGGTCTGAGAGGGACTGAAAAACCCAGACTCATCTGAGAGACGAACCCCTCCCTTCCACCCTTGTCCTACGAGGACCCGCTCCTATGAAAGGCTTCAATGAAGGGCGCCATGAAAGGCCTCAACTTGGCGAATGTTGAGAGGACTGTGAGAGTGGTGGGGGGGGGGGGGGGTGAGTGAGAGGGTGTAGTGAGGGGGTGAGGTATGTATGAGTTAGGGGGGGAGGGGTAATGAGGTGGGGGGATGGGGGGTTAGGGGGGCATTGTATTTTGAGCCTTACATGTCGCTTTAATACAATAATTGCTTCACTTTCCTCCCTGTCAATCACTTCCTTGACAGGTGAGTAGAGACATGACGACGCCTGAAGTCTGAAGCTGTTTCAAGTTGATGAAACAGTTCCGAAGAATGAGAAAATATTCCCCACGGATCAGAAACATTCCCCACCAATGAGAAACTATTCGCCACAGATCAGAAATATTCCCCACGAATGAGAAAATATTCCCCAAGAATGAGAAAATATTCCCCAAGAATGAGAAAATATTCCCCACGGATCAGAAACATTCCCCACCAATGAGAAACAATTCGCCAATAATAAGAGAGTTGGGCTCTTGTTTTCACGGCTCTATTGTGTTAATAAATATAATATATACTAAACATATACCATAATATACCGGGAGTCAGAAGGCTGCGTCTCTAACATATATTGTCTCGACCAATGTCTTATACAAGTCAGGGGGTATACAACGGAACCGCTGCATCACGCTACATTTGACTCTATGTCATCTACACATAAGGACTATTATATTTATGGTGTGTTGGACACGCATGTGCAAGCGACTTTGATCGTTGAGACTCTTGGCAATAAGGACGGTATTCGTGGTGTTCTCTGATGGCTCCAGTGTTAAATAGGACGTGCAGAGAACTTTTGCCCGTGTGAATACCTGTCATAAGGAAGGTTTCCCAATATAATTCTTACCCGAAAAAGATGAAGAAAAACGGATAATGTCGTCTGAGATTTTATACCTTCTGCCACAAGGTCGTACGGGCCATAACAGCGTGTTTTTACTATTTCTGAACATTATGTATGTAACTTTAGAGCTTATTGACTCCACACACAAGGGCAGTATTTGCTTGACAACGGAGTAGTGTAATTTGCTGCATCAAGACAAAGGTATATTGACCCTTATCTCCCACGTGCTTCAGGGTCAATATTGCTCTTCGTGAAGCCTTACATCACTTCATCTCTGCCTCTTGATCAGTGCCGTCAGCTCCGGGTCCAGTCACTCACGCAACAACACTTTATAGTCTTTCATTAAACAATTATTATCACCAATATTTTCTCTCGTTATCATAAAGGTTCGTTAGCGGCCGGTGACACAGCTCCGTTTTCTTTAGATGTGATAATGACCTTGGAGCTGAGATGATCTAGGTAGTTAAGCTGGGTAATTGGCTGTGCATTATGTCTCTGTGGCGGATGGTGGCGCACGCACGCACGCACTCGCACGCATATGCACGCACCCACACACACACGCTCAGGAACCTGTACATTAGTTGATTGACAGTTGAGAGGCGGGACCAAAGAGCCAGAGCTCAACCCCCGCAAGCACAACTAGGTGAGTACACACACACACACACACACACACACACACACACACACACACACACACACACACACACACACACACACACACACACACACACACACACACACACACACACACACACACACACACGGGTGAGTGTGTGCGTGTATAAGAGAAATATATGTAGTAGACATAATTGAGGACAACTACTTGAAGGTGCCCAATAATGCCGATTCTTGAAGTGATTCTTCAAGTGATTCAAGTGATTGTGGCAGTAAATGATGTTGGTACAATCTCCGTATAAACCACAATTAATTGTCAACAATATATTCACTCTTAGTGTGTACCGCATTGTGTCTTTAGAAAGTCTAATAGGCCAGAAATTTCCTTGTCCAACTTTGTGTGTGTGTGTGTGTGTGTGTGTGTGTGTGTGTGTGTGTGTGTATAGAAGTTACAGATAATTTATTGTGTTCCCTACCATGCGACGCTTTCGGGGCTCAACGTCCCTGCGGCCCGGTCCTCGACCAGGCCTCCCAAAAAAGTAATTTTTTTTT